CAAACGCGACACAAATTTGCTATGCGTAAGACGCTGCGGTTAAATTATCGTATTAATTATCATTATGTAAAATTTGAGATAAAAATTAAAGATTTATTATTAATTAAATTGAAGAGGCTAAGGGCGATCGTTAAGGGCGCAAACTTATTCTCTATTTTATTTATCCCTGAATGATAAAATAGAGACGCCCGATGCTTCACATCTCACACTCACCCTTTGCCTCACATTGCAACTCCTTTCCCAATTAAGATCACGTGCTCCACTCTTCAGAAATAGCCGACTCGATTATTATCTCGTTAACTCGCACGGTCGATGGGACTCGGTTTAATCTGCGTTCAATTTATCGTACAATTCATCAACCGTGATGCGACGCCCATCGACGCGTGCGGTAAACAAAATGCAAGGACGATTTTCCGATATGTTGTTTGTCCCACTTTCTATTTCTAGCCTGCGATAAAAGCGATATTTGGCAATCCGACTGGCCCGACTCCGTGTCACAAGTGACAGGACGCGACGGGGGGATGCGAGAGCGACGTCGATGACGTTGCGGGGTTTTGCTCCTCTGAGTTGCGGCTAACTCCGTTCGCGGTTAAGCTAATGGGTAAATCGCGTTACGTCGGGAGGACATTGAGAGGCAGTGGCAGAAATCGATTTCGGAAGTTCACGCGCCGGTCAGATCACCGTAGGGAAGATCGGACTGGCGCATTTATCATCGTCTGACCGTAGTGGACCTTATCTACTTGTAGTGTTTGTTTGCAGTTTTCAAGGAACGACCGTAGTTTCTATGACTCTCTTGACAATCCATGGAATTTTTAATATGTTATCCGCGGTTTTTACACATGAACGATGTAATATCGCTCATTATTCAAGTTAAATACTCGTTAGTTTTATTTCTAAAAAAAGATACTCCTTTTTTTCACTTAAAATATGCAATTTTTTTATATGTACACTGCGAGATATATTTTTAGAAATATATATTATTTAAATATTACAGATATTATAAAATATTAATATATTATTATAAAAATATATTTTGCTATTTAAATTTACTATTAAATTTACTTTTACTAATATATATATATATATATATATATTAATATATTTATTTATTTATTTACTTTGAAGTTTTTTTTCCGTGATGCTGATTAATTGCTGGTCTATTTTTGATTAGTTATTGATCAGAAAATAGCAACCTGAAGAATTTAACTTTTACTTGATAGAAATTAATAATATTAATTAATATTTACTGACCAGTTATATCTGACTAATTTCTGACTAATTATTGATCAGAAAATGTTAGTCAGAATATTCCGAGTTTTACTGGCCAGAAACTAGCTATCATTTACTGATTAGTCTGACTTGGCTAGTTGCTGACCAGTATTATCTAACAAAAATTTTCTGATCAATTATTGGATAGTTACTGTCCAGTAAATTCAAATGAATAAAAACTAGCCAATTTCTAGTGAGTAACCAGTTTTTCTTATATATTTTTCTACTTGGTTACATGCGTCATGTATTAAACATCGATGCAAAATTATTAAAAAGATTAAAAATTATAAAAAAATAGCGCTGAGCGTGCATGTCCCATTATTGAGTAAATAAAAATATGACTGTTACATAATAATTAAAAACTTCTTAATCGAATATAATTTATTTTTCACATTTTAATCAATAAGTTTAAAAAAGTCAATATCTGGAAATAAAATAAGATTGAAATTAACAATTGATAAAAAATAAAAATGGCAATTTCGACAACAATGAGAATTTGGAAATATTATCCCAAGGAGAGTGTTTTAGGGTAAAATCGACGAAAAAGCGCATTAGCCGTGATGGTAAGGGTAGATGAATGGAGAACCGAACACGGCTGGGTAAGTTTTGGTCATTAGAAATCCGATAGCCGGATGTCTCTCTTTCTCTGAACCGCCAAGTTTCCGTTACAATCCCGCTGATGGACCACTCTGAGGGAAAAAATTTCGAGGGATAATGTACGGGATAATGTTTGGTAACGTTCCTCTCACTGAAGAAACTTTGACAGGGATTCTCGTAGGATGGCAGAAAACGTGCAGGAAAGACAGAGTCTTTCTCTGTCAGAGTTTTCCTATTCTGGATTACGTAACGAGAAAAACCATAATGTTGGTACTCTCTGTACAACAAACCATACGCTTATACACGTGTAGGAAAGATCATTACAGATGTCTACCTTTTTCTCGTGCATAAAATCGTCATGGTGCATTAATAACACGATATTTTATGCCGCGGAGCGATCATTTACGAGATATATAGTACGGCGAAATTACAATTTCAAATTTTTACATCACGAGTGCGGATTAACAATTCGTAAAACGCAGCGATCGCATTGGCATATTTTTCGAAAATTCTCGCTTTACTTGAATCGATGACGGAATAAATGTAATTGCGACAACGCTATTAGGAAAGCTCGGTACGTTATGGTAAGATAAGATTTATAAAAACTGAAAACTTTTCGATCGCATGAGAGAAATTCGCGCTCGTATCGACTAGATTGACTTTAATTGCCATACATGACGTTACGATTAGTACTCTTGATATTCGACGGGATCAATTCTATCCGTACGTTACGAATACGTTATGAATGTGTAACATTTCTGGGAAAGCACGACAATTTGGCATTCCTGTAATGCCGGTGCCATGTTATCCTTACTCGCACGGGCACCCGGTATGCAAAGTAGCAATTCACACGGAGCTGCGTAAACAATCGTCGGAAATAGAAACCAGTCGGGGCGTGATCCTTTGGCTTGTATATCCGAATGTCCGCGCGCCGGACAAATTGGGAGTCAACCTCGGGTTACAAAGCCGCGGCTTTAAGGACTAACGAGCGGGTCCATCCATCGGAAACCGGCTGAAATGGCTCAAAATCATGTCGAGAATGCCATTAGAATTCGAACGTGGTATCACCCATGCAGTCTAGTTATAAATCTTCCATAAAATGATCACGTTCCTCGACCGTGGCATTTACATTACATTTCCAATTTGCACTGACATTATAAAACAGCTTGAGCTTAATTAATTATTATTTATTTTTAAAAATAAAAAATACCCTTAAAATACACGTGAGAATCACATTGAAAATTTCTATATTGTGACTGACTTGAAACTCTTTGCTTGTGTTTTTAATTTATTTATATTTAATTAATAAATTAATAAATGTACATAAATTATATATCGTAATAAAAAATGTCTTTGATATTTTCTTCAGTTCATTTTAATTGTTAATAATTTAATGGGTTACGTATGCGGTTCATTATCTTAATTGCGTTTTATCAAAATCTGTTTTAGCAGATTAGAAAACGCATCTCCTCAATTGTCTTTATGCTTTTACCTAATTATTCTCGTAATCCTATAATTCCGTAATTGTGTACGCCTTTCATTACTTCCTGGAAATTGCTAAGATATATTTGTTGGAAATGTTGCGCGTTTTTCTCATATAATTCAATGTAATATAGATTCTTCACGTATGTATCTAACTAAAAATTTTATATATCTACTTTAGATCTATTATGAAACAGGAACAATAAAAATCTCATCATCTTGATGCGACTTCCACAGAAATTGATAACAATCTCGCGACAAATTTCATTTCTCGTCGTTTTCTGTGTCCTATACGTTCCTTTTTCTCGGTTCTCTTTCTGGCTTCTTCGATACGTGTCGATGTTTCTGATAAGATATCAGAAATATAATGGGGATCTACCTGGATACGAGACAAATGATGCGTGAATAACGAGGTCGGTATAGCGGTTGAACGGCCCATTGTTAACTGCCGATGCATGAATATTCGATGGTTACACGCGCGAAATATCCGTCAACGAGCGTATATCGCGAATAAAGTTAATAACGTTAGCGAAGATATCAACATCAGTTTCAGAGGCAAAATGAATCTAAAAAAACGTGGATCTCCGTAATTTCATAAAAAAAGCCGCTTGAATTAAAAGACAAAAAGAAATGCAACACACAACAATGCGGAACAAAGCGTAATTATCTTCGAATCCAATGTCGTCGTCGCGGCCTGGAATTTCCCCCGAATTCTAACGAGAGCCACATCGAGCGGAAGAGAGATTTTAATAAACGCGCAAATCTGGCAGCCGAACGAGACTCCCCGCTGAAATATTCCCGCCGATATTTCTCCGTCGATCTTGGAAGTAAATTCAGACGCTCGATACCGCTCCATAAATATTTTCGTAAGACGCCCTGGCTATTTTCCCCGCCCGTCCGTGCACGGACGATCGTTCATTGTGATCAACGACGTATGAAACACACGATCGGCGTGCGTTTAAAGTTTCCTGCCTGCGTAGAATAAGAATGTTGAACTTTCGATGCCGGGAAACGGCGATTTATCATCCGCGAATCTCTTACCGTCGACGGTAGATCGTGGATTTTTCCGAAAATTTGTCTCTCCGCTCGCCGCTCGTGACGAACGTGAAATTTATGGAGATTGATACCGGCAGTTAATACCGTAATAATTCCTGAATATGCATGCCGTTTTAATTCTCATGTCAGCCGGTTATTGGCAATATGTAAAGCCGGCGGGCGATACTTTTAAATTATACTAAATGCATTTGACGGAGGAAAATCCCATCGCTTCTTGTTATTTTGACAAGTAATTGACGATATATACACATATACCGCTCATCTATACACCGGCCGTGTTTGTTATAGATATCACTATATTACGTTAGTCGTACTTGCATGAACATATATCTTTCTCTTAGAATTTATTCCCGCGATATTTTTCGTATTATTCGTATTTTTCGTATTACCAATTTCGTTGTCAGATACAAATAAATTGTATTAAATCAATCGTTTAGTGGTAACGAAAATTCGTAAGTTTGCATAATCGAAATTTTGGAAATAAGCATCGAGATAATAGGAGTAAAGGGACAATAATGTTAATTGTTGAAGTCACAATTGTTTAGTAACAGGAAAAAGGACAAGGCAAAATTAATAGAAAGCTTTATTCACTCTACCTGTACTCACCGATCTCCGGTATGTTCCTGTCATGATCGCCCCCGGGTGAAAACTGAAATACAAAAATATTTTGCACTTAGATTATAAAGCTCTTACATTACAACAACAACAAAAAAAAACAAGATAGAAAAAATAAATGGACTAAATAAAATATCATAACTCGCAACATTTTCTTTACGTCTGTCTTATCTCGATTTCTTACCTAATTATCAAATTATCATAAGCTCGTTGCAACGCCATTTGCGCCGGCCGCGATCGATCCCATTGTCGCAGATCGATATTTGTGAGCTCGCGGGATTGCCTATAAAAATCACTTCTCACTTCCGGTAAATGAAGTTTGTTCAGGATAACGGAGATCACCGGGAACAGCGGGATAGCGCACGGTCGAAGGGAGTGCTTTCAGCCGACGACAGTGAAACCCGGCAAAAGAAACTTCTGGCGATGACGCGAAAGGATCGCCAGTAAAATATGACACCGCTGTTTTTCTCCGAATCCAGCAAATACTGTTACTTTTGCCTCCCCATCCGGCGAACACGACAACAAACGGATCCATACGTTACGTCAACCCGCGGTACTTTGTAACTTTCGCAGAGAACTTCGTTTTGCAGAACATACGGTATGCTCAGAAAGAATTTCCTTCGTCTATTGAATGACAAGAAAAATGAGAAAAGCTGAAACTCGCCGTATAAAATTAATGGATTGGAAAATTTATAAAATTGTGAAAAAATTATGAAAATGATTTTAAAATAGTTTGAGTCATGATAAAATGACCCCGTCAAGCGATCCCGATTAAAATTTCTCCTACATGTAAGAAAGATGAAGAAGTAAAACTGATTAAAATGTTACGGAATATATTGCGTTATAAAATTATAAAGATTGTAGAAATTGTTCAGAAATTCAATTATTTTGTATCAAATAATTTACATAGTTTAATGAGCGCAGGAAACTTCTTAGAAGTAAAGATGAAATGTAAATCTAGTGCCGCAGGCAAATCTATTAATATTTGAGTTATAATTATTATTATTTAAACATCTTATCTCTTATTATATATAAGATAAGACATCATCAGCGTATTCGGGGGGGAGAGGGGTTCAAATCCCCTCCCCAAAATTAAAAAAAAGATTAAAGTTAAAGTTATAATTTACGCAATCTAATATTTATCTTATTAAAAATCAAGATCAAGGAGATTTCTTAAATATCCAAAAAAGCAATTAACGCAAAAAATTTATATGTTAATAAAATTGATAAGTCCCCTCTCAAAAAAAATCCTTGATACCCCTATGTAGGATTATTTTTATATAAATTATTATTTTTATAAAACTATTATTTTTATATAAATCAGTATTTCTTCGTTGTTACATGTTTCACGTGATAATTAAAAAATTCACATGATATACAATTTATCGAAATAAAGGAGGGTGTACAGCGGGTGTACAGCGGGTGTAAAGCGAGCGTGTCGCGATGATGATTAAATAAGACATTCAACGTCGCAGCTGGCAGTCTCGACAATTAAATTACGCGACGATGACATCGTGAAATATGCACGAGGATGCACTCGTAAAGAAGAACGGGACGCGTAAGAAAAGAGGGGCCAACACTTCTTGGCTCTCTTTGCAGTTCGCCGCCGAATGTCTTATACTGCAGTCTAGCCGCAATACATAAGCCGGGTTTATTCGAGAAATCGTGACTTTCTCGGGGAAATAGAAATCGGCAAAAAGATATCCCACGCTCGTCTTTCTTGCCGCGTGAAAGAGATTCTCTTCTGTAACTCTCCTCCGCGAGAGGGAAATGGCGAGAGAGGAATCTCTCGAGGGAAGCCTCTTCCTCCCTAGACCTTCCGAGGCTTGGGAAATCGATAGACCTTCCCCGCCCCCCCCCGCCTAGCTTCCTGCGATTCTCCTCCATTTAGAGCTGAAGACCATCTCCACGTTCATGTGTCGATCGAGAAACCCAGTAATATCTCACGTCAGAGACTGATTAAGGGTATCATCTCCGTTATCTCCCTATATTCGTATTACGACATTTTCCACATTAATATGTTTCTAATGACAACGGCTCAACCATAAATTTCATTACTTATGTTATTATCAATTATCTTTATACGAAAAAAAAAAAAAAACAAATATCTAATTTCAGATTGGTATTTCGTTTATTAGACGAAAGAAATTTTTCCTGAATTATTGGAAAAAAGTTTATCTTTTTTTTTTTTATACTTTTCGCAATATTAGATATTACGGGTAATTAAATCAGTCAGTTAATTGTTGTATTAATATCATCAGATCGCTTTGTTTCCCGAATAAAAAAAGTATTTCCGATATCGGCGTTCCAACTGATCCACGTATTATTTCCGTAAATAAAGAATGTCATACGAGTTCTCCCCGTTATCAGATATTTTACACGTGTGACTGGAAAACGTCCGCGAGAACAAACTTGAAAGCCGTTTTGTATGCGATGGAAAAAAGAGAGAGAGAGAGAGAGAGAGAGAGAGAGAGAGAGAGAGAGAGAGAGAGAGAGAGAGAGAGAGAGAGAGAGAGAGAGAGCAGAGATGAATACACTCGTTGCCAATTTCATCTCGTTTTTTGTACAGTTAATCGATTAATCACTACGCAGAAGGATTTACCGTTCCGACATATAGATCGCGCGCAGTTGAAAATCACCCTATCGCGACGTGTGCGTTGATCTCTCTCGAGATGAAAATGGAACGACGAGGGAGATCTCGTCGCGATTTATTTCCGCGTCGATTCGACGCGCACTCTCCGGTGCGGGCGTTTCGTGCGGACCTTCCCGAGCTCAAATGGCAGGCTCTTTCTGCTCATAAGTGTCGCACTTTTAGAACACACGAGCCGGAGAATTGATGGTAACTCGCTCCATCGCTGTCCGCGCCCGTGGACAAAAAAAAGCCTCGAGCTTGAAAGTGATAAATACGAGAAATTTGCGAGTGCACTCGTAATGCGAGACGCGAGCGACAAGCTTGTTCCGCTTTGATAAACTTCTCTCGCTGCGGATTTATGAAGCTAGCCGGCAAGAGTTTTCGCTTGCATAACATTTCGTGATGTCACGCGATTACGGCAGAGAGGAATGAATACTGTAAACAGGATGTTTCGTGAAGTTTGTATCTTCGAGATGCATTCGTCGAAGCTGAACTTTGCAACTGAATAGCAACGTAAAGTTATTTAAGATTAAAAAGTAATAACTTTTTGTGAGATCAAACTTGACGACAACTACATACAATATCATACTTTTTATATAATATTCAATTCTTTTTGTAAGTAAATTTGTTTTAGTAAATTTTATTCCAACATTTCATTGTAAAATTTCAGTCGCTATTTATTATTAAAACTCGGAAGTTGTAATAAGTAATGATAACCTTCATTTTTTTCACCGAGGGAAAAATTGTCATTAGTAAACAAGGTAGAAATAAGATCTTTGTGAAATTTTCCTTCTGTTTCTCTCTCTTTTTTCACATTCAGCAGACAACGTTTACGAGAAAAGTTTACGCGAAAAATTTCAAGCAATGAAGCAATGATGAACAAACGTTTTCACATATTCTTAGAATAAACTGTCATAGTACTTCCGCAGATTGGAGGGGAGAACTTCTCCCTTTTATCCCTTTTCTTCCGTTATCTACCAGCGACCGTGAAACTGTGGCGATCAACGTGGACGGCACGAGTTTCACAATGTTTGCTAACTCGTTGAATTTATCTCAATTCCATTAGTAGAGAGCCCGCTATATTTAGACGAGCCACGAAGATCGACGCTTCGCAAGATGTCTGTAAATCGACGTAACCATTCCTTTTCCTTAATGAAATCGCGACGATCAGACGTAATTTTAACCTGCTTATTTATCTTAGGTAATTTTCGCCACAAAATAATCGAAGGTTCACTCGCGCTTTCGTACAATTTCTCGCCAACGAATCAAATAATAATGGATCTTGAATATTATCAGAGGAGGGATTCCAGAGAGGAGGGAGAGAGGAGAGAAGAGAGAGAGAGAGAGAGAGAAGTTAATCCCAAAGAAAATACTTCCGATGAAGAATTAAAAGAGTAAAGCGCTGAATGTTTCATCGTTCCTTGTCATGTCTCATGAGAGCTTAAAAATTACAACTTCTGTTTAAATATTTGAGAAAAAGCAAACACGATAGCTATTACGATAGTCCTGATACGTACGCGACGGACGCGAATAATATTTTATGAGAAAATTTTCAATATACCTCGCACCTTCTCTGCTTAATTAAGTGATATATATCCTCGATACATCAGAATCGCGAATTTCTGACAGGAATATCGAACGACGGTCATTACATCTGGATTTAATATCCTTAGATCAGAGCTTATTAAATTCGTTCTTGACTTCAAATTAAATATGCTATAGCGATATTTCGCACGGTGAACATCAAAGTGTACAAAAGAATGTTTGAAGGAAATTTTGACGTTGCGCGGAAAATGCGATCAAATATTAATAACGCAAGTCGCGCGGGCGAAAGGGCACGATGAAACTAGCACCGGAAAATTGCGAAATATAAAC